TGTGTGACAACCTGGGTAGTCTTTTTATACAATTGGGTACAATTATTAAATAGGGTGAATCATGGGTATTTGGAAAATTCATTACCAAGAATTCCTGTGAAAATACATGCTATGCATGTAAAGAAAACAGAATCAAGGTAGAAGAGAATAGTTCTAATTTGTTTTAGTATAGAATGCAACAGCTTACTGAGCTGAGAATATAATCCTTTAAATTTTGTCAGTCTGTATTAAACCTGTAGTGAAATAACAGTATCAGTTTTGCATTGACACTTCAGACACCAATATATGAGTCTTACAAAATCTCTTCCTCATCTTGTAATTCATATCCAATTCATAATCAACTATGGAAGAAAACTATTTGTATTTCAGACACATATATGGAAACTATGTATTAAACCACTTTTACACTTACTTCTCATGGCTTTTGTGCTGTTCATGCAGGAACAGGTTTGAGTATTTGGATAATATTTTACAATCAGGACTTGAAGGTCATTCTGTATTCTCTGTTGTTCTTTATGAGCTTGATATTGACATATTTTCCCATAGTACTTATTTTCTCAAAATAACCTCAAAAAAATCCTTGGATTTTGTATTTTAGAAAGTTTGTGAGGTTACTGATATTTATTAACTCTTAAGATCACACATTTTATAATAATGTGATATATAAAGAAATAGTTGAATATTATTTTCAAATAAAACACTTAAAGGAGAATGGGAAGCACAAAAGAAAATTATTTCATTGTACTGAATATAAATTTAATTGGGCCATTTGCTGACAGAATCCTGTGCTAGCAAGGAGGAGATAAAATATGACATACATGTAAGAAAAATGAAAGCTGGAAGATGAATAGGCCTTCTAGGGAGTTGATCTTTACAGATCAGATAAAGATTCTTGCTGTCTGTGCTGCATCAAAGGCTGCCTTTCAGAGATAGTTACATGAACTTGGAAACTGGGGACAAGACCTTCGAAAATAGAGGTTTTTGAGATTGACAAGCAGCTGGGCTTTGGACCTTTTTTAGTTGTTTTCCTTTTCTATTATTTATGTGTGTGTTTGTACGTGTATAATCTTTTAAAATCCCTTTAAAAGTTAAAGAAAGATTCATAGGCTGGTGGAGTGAATTAACACTTGCACCTTATCTAACTTTTCAATAGCTGTTTTCCTTTGAAGATAACCTTTCTCTTTCAAAGATATAAGGAAATGTAGTGGAGGGTGCCTCTTGACTCCTTTCAAAGTTTGATTAAAAATACTTATTTGTGAGCAGTGACTGATTTCTAAGGGATATTTATATATTTTTTTTTAATTGATGAGCTAACTATTCTGGAAATTGCTGAAAATAATGCACGCATCCTACTAAGAAAAAAAAAAAAGAAAAAAAGAAAAAGAGAGTGAGAATGCTGATCTCATTAATAATTTAAAAATAAAAGTTTAAAGTAAATTTTAAAAATATATAGGAGTAATTTTTTAATCTAGGAAAATTTGTTCAATAAATTGCATGTCTAATCAAAGTGTTTCCAAGCACCATAAATTGGGCATCAGCTACTGTGTCAATCACCCTGGCTAAATCTGGCATCAGCTCCTCTGATCCCTTACTTAAAAAGCACCATCACACAGCTGTCAGGCATCCTCCAAAGGACATGGATAGATCCTACAGCATTCTGTTAGCCTTTGCAGCCCTCTCTCCCTGGTCATGGTTTCTCAATTTATTTACTAATTCAGAGTAAATCTGTTTTCTCCAGCAGACTGCACGAAGTAGGATTCTTTAAATACAATGAAGTAAGCCAGAACACTTCTGTTACGTGTTATTTTGTTTCTTTTTTTTCCATTTTTAGTTTTGTTCTGCTTTTCCTACTCTGTATCCAAAAGATGCTGTTAAATAGAGCTTTGTTCAAGGCATGAAAACATTTCACAGCTTTCATCTTCTCAGAAAGCAATACAGAGGACATAGAAGAAAAAAATTATTTAAAGCTAATATTCATGAATATTGTTTAAAACCATTTCTTCTTATTTTCTTACACAGAAAAAATCGTATCTCAGGATTTTAGTATTTGCTGGAGAAACCTGTAGGGAGCTGCAGTGGGTCATGGTGTTAAAGCAGCTGATGCCTTATTAATCCCTAATTGTAATTAGAGGGAAAATGGGAAGCTCCAGGTGAATGCCAGCTGTTGTGCAGCTTCTCTGTCAGCATTCTCCAGGGACTCTTCCATCAAAACAGGGAAGGACAGACCTGACATTTGCATACCTCAAAAGGAAGCAGGTTTGATTTCTTTGAGATGAAAAATTAGCCTCCTTGTGTCACAATAACAGACACAATAACTTGAGTTTTCTTGACTGCCCGGCTATTTTGGGCCATAGAGGAGTGTTGACACAGGGTAATATGAGGTATATTTTAAATATACATTCCAACTAAAGTACTGGATACCTTTCAAATATTTTTTTAATTGATCAAATAACTAGAACAGCAACAATAAAAAAAATACTGACTTTTGAACAATAGAGCAAAATGCAGAGATTCTTCAGGTAAGCAGTGATGAAGAAATCAAAAAGGTATCTCAGCCAGTTGCCATGGTCCTGTCTTGTTGTCATGTGTACTTCCATTATGGTGTTTGGTTTGTGGTTCTAGAAGTCAAGGAACAACTGTTTTCTCATTGTTTATTACTATTTCTTAAGCAGTTTGCTTGGACTTTCGTATCAGCAGGATTACCTTTAACAAATCTCTGTACACATGCCCCGAATGCCAACCTCTCATTTTTGAGGCTATTTTAAGGTGTAAAGCATTGTAGATATTGCATGTAGGGTTTTTTAGAAGGTTGCTTGGCCAGTTAGGATGGGCTCTAACTGACTGAAAAACTGAAAAATTCTAAAGGAGAATAAGAACACAATTTTGTGAGGGATATTCTTTTTATTCCCCTTCTTCTGAGACAAGAGAAAGCAACCCAAACCTATTTTTTTTTTTTTTTAACATTTTCACTTTATAGTGCAGATTAGCAAAGAAATCTACCATTTGAACTGAGGAACTTCAAGTATGGCTTCAGTTCTTTCCATGAAAAATTCTTAGTAATGTTAATGATGAGTATATATTTCTCTCCATAAGCCATCTATCATTTTGTGCATTTGGGTTCTGCTGTCTTTTGTGGTTCTCAGAGTACCTTAAGGCAATGGAGCAGAGTGTGAAGGAAATCTGAGGGCAGTTAACTGCAGGTATTTACACGTGTAGTAAGTGTTATATCTTGCTTTGCAACAATCTGGTGAAATATGACTTAATAATCTTGAATCTATCAGAGGATATACAAATTTAGATGCAGAACGGGCTAGGTTAAGTGAATACATTAGATGGACAAAGTTGTTCTAGTGCATTACCGAAAAAATGAAATGCTGTAGATGTTTGTCCAGTGCAGTCAAGAAAGAGTTGGACTGTGGTTTTTTTACAATATAATGTATGAAATGATACCATAGTTTTGCTTTAGTTAATGTGGTACTTGGTTGCTGTGGATGTACTTCTTGTGAGCAGTACCTCTAAAGTGCTGGTTGCTTTCTGTTAGCTAAGAATCATTTGAATTGACAATAAAACAATTGAGTGGGGGCACATTTTGTGGCCATAGAAGACATAGGTTTGTTGACTTTTTTCTGGTTTTAAAGAATTATTTCAAACCTAAAAATAAGGAAAAGGTCCTAAGTTCTGATTTTTGAAATGTGTCAATCATCCTGGTAGCTGTTACAGCAGGGAGAGGGGTTGCCCTCAGGGAATAAAGTAGCACAGGCAGTTGCAAGGTCTGAGGTTCTGACAGAACCATGTCTGGAACTCCAGCTTTCCTGGACTTTGGTCGTATTCCTTTTGCTGCTAGCAAGAACTGACAAGGTGACTCAACTGAAAGTGTGACTTAGACACCAGTTCATTTTGTGTAGGGATTAGTCTGAATATTAAAAGGGTCATCAGACTTATTGTTACACAGTAAGAATTTTCATCCCTACTTATCTGGTGGACATAGTCAGGCTGTGTCTCCTGGAAAGGGACCATGACTCCCTAAAAACAGTTGCTAAAATTTGTATTGGACTATAAAATAATTGAGTTCTAAATGTAAGTCACTCAACAATTAGGACATGACTGAGTCCACATGAGCTACATTCACATCAGGTAGCTGCTTCTTCAGAGTGAGCTGGCTTGCTTTAGGGATGGGTGGATCTGTGGGATAGGGGATTGGTGTGCAGCTTTGCTGGAGAACATGCATTACCCTGGCAAATTCTATATGGAAATATGAATTGTGTCCAAACAGGTTTTTTTCAAAGACTTCAAATTTTGTATGAGGAGGAAGATATCATCCAGTCTAATGGATGTGTCTATATAAGATTGATTTGAAAGAGCAAATTGTTGTACACTGTGATTTTCTTCCTGTGAGGCTAAGTGAAAAGACTGGATTTTATTCAAAACATTAAATGTGGGGGAAATGCCCTCTAGGAACATGCCTGTTACTCTCTGGCTGCTAATTCAACCCATGAGTTCAGACTTCAGCTAGTCCCAAATTACTGACTTTTTTTGCATTACAGGGCTGTCAGGAGTTTCCGTAGTTGAAGCTAAATGATATAACAGAGAAATAAAGGTCCATAACATAGTGTTTTAATATTTTAATATGTACTTGTCATTAGGTAGTAAATTGAATTAATGCACATAAGACAAGGTAGTGTGCGTAAAGAGAGGGTATTTTCAGCAGGATGTTGATGGATTTTGAACTTAACTAGAACTTCTTCAATTATATTGGAGTGAGGGTTAAATTTTCTAACGCATTACAGTACTTAAATATCAAATAATACAGAAAATAACATTTTTTGGATGAGATGGTTCACCTTGACTCAAATGCACAGTCTTCAAATAAATGCAAAAAGCATAGATACAAAATATATAGAGAGAAAATACGCACAGGAAAAAGGTAAAATAAAAGAACTTTTCTACATGAAGAATCAGTAAAGACTAAAATTTATGTCCTGTCTCTCTTTGTTCTTCAGCGCCTTGCTAAAGAAGCAGAGAAGTACCAGGCATCGCATCAATGGAGGGATGAGTTTGGGGTAAGCTTCATTTTTTTTTCCTTTTAACCTTCTTGGATTTTTCCTCTTTGAAATGTTCACTGTAGTCTTGCAATATGTTGTTTATGTATCTACTACAGAAAGGGTTACTGACTATGAATAGACAGTCTATTTAATTCAGTAAACAGAGTCTCAGTCAGGGTGTCTAGAGAATAAAATGAACTTTTCCCTTCAGAAGCTCATAGGAAGCTTCACAGACCATGGATGTAGCTGTGAGTTGTACACAAGACGTCTGTTTGTTTTGACAGACAAGGAATGATTACAGAGAAGACATTTGAGTGATGGTTGCTACCAGTTAAAAGTGTGTTTATTCCAAACACTGAAACAGAATCATAGAAAAGATTTTTACAAGTTGTCTTTTCTTATGTAAAGGGAAAAATAAACCAAACAAACAAGAAAAAACTTAATACAGAAGGATTTGGTTATCTGCATGACTTGGGAGTCATAGACTTTTTTTATAGAATCCCTTTCCATATTTTAATAACTGCATCTTCTCTTTCAATATTCTAGTACTGCTGAAAGAGGCCCCAGCCTGGTCAAACATTAAATTATCTTCTTTATTCATTTCAGGCTTTACTGAAGAATAAGTGGCATGATTTTAAAATGTGCAACCTTGATGTTTTTATTTCCAATTTGGCCAAATTAATATTGTGCTGCATGATTATAAGTCTCTTAATTTTAGGCTATAGTTCCCGGCTAAGTGTCAAAATTTTTTATTATGCCTTTATTCCATGTTCCTTCAGAAATAAAAGCAGATGGTACTTTTACATTATGCTGCTGCAAACCTGGACTGTGTTTGCACATTCATGAGAATCACTTAGAACACAGTTAAATGCACAGTGGTTTTCTAAGAATGTTGTGGTGGTTTAACCCCTGCTGACAAGTAAGCACTGCACAGGCACTTGCTCACTCTCAGTCAGGATGGGGGAGTCAATTGCAAGACTGAAAATGAGAAAACTCATGGTTTAACGTAAAGACAGTTTCATAAGTAAAGCAAAAGTTGCATTCAGTAGCAAAGCAAAACAAAGAATTCCTTCACCATTTCCCATGGGCAGGCAGGTGTTCATCTATCCCTAGGAAAATGGGGCTCCTTTGCCCTTAATGATGACTTGTGAAGACACCATCACTCCAAAAGTCCACCCCTTTTCTTCTTCTTCCTCCAGTGTTATACACTGAGCATGGTGCTGTCTGGCATGGGATATCCCTTGGGTCAGTTGGGGTCAGCTGTGCACCACCAGCCTCCTCACTGGTGGGGCAGAGTGAAAAACAGAAAAGGTCTCAAATGCACAAAAACACTCCTCAGCAACAACAAAAACCAACCAAACAAAAAAAACCAACAAAAAAAAAAAACCCACCAAAACCCACCAAACAACAACAACAACAAAAAACAACAAAACAAAACAACAAAAAAAACCCAACCAAAAACCAACAGATCAGAATTTTCAACCCTTTTTCCAGAACAAATCCAAAATATAGCCCATGCTAGCTACTATGAAGAAAATTAGTTCTAACCCAGTCAAAACCAGCAAAATGGGGCTCCTTTGCCCTTAATGATGACTTGTGAAGACACCATCACTCCAAAAGTCCACCCCTTTTCTTCTTCTTCCTCCAGTGTTATACACTGAGCATGGTGCTGTATGGCATGGGATATCCCTTGGGTCAGTTGGGGTCAGCTGTGTGGGGCAGAGTGAAAAACAGAAAAGGCCTCAAATGCACAAAAACACTCCTCAGCAACAACAAAAACCAACCAAACAAAAAAAACCAACAAAAAAAAAAAAACCCACCAAACAACAACAACAACAACACCAAACAACAAAACAAAACAACAAAAAAAAAACCCAACCGAAAACCAACAGATCAGGATTTTCAAAAAATATAGCCCAACAAATCCAAAATATAGCCCATGCTAGCTACTATGAAGAAAATTAGTTCTAACCCAGCAGAAATGTTCATTCTGATCCAGATTTACTCAGGCACTTGAACATCTGAAAACAGACAAAAAAGCTGCTAAGGTCAGGCCATGTAACCGAAAACCAACAGATCAGGATTTTCAACCCTTTTTCCAGAACAAATCCAAAATATAGCCCATGCTAGCTACTATGAAGAAAATTAGTTCTAACCCAGTCAAAACCAGCAGAAATGTTCATTCTGATCCAGTTTTACTCAGGCACTTGAACATCTGAAAACAGACAAAAAAGCTGCTAAGGTCCCAAAAACCAACAGATCAGAATTTTCAACCCTTTTTCCAGAACAAATCCAAAATATAGCCCATGCTAGCTACTATGAAGAAAATTAGTTCTAACCCAGTCAAAACCAGCAGAAATGTTCATTCTGATCCAGTTTTACTCAGGCACTTGAACATCTGAAAACAGACAAAAAAGCTGCTAAGGTCAGGCCATGTAATTCAGGTAGGAGTGACTGACTTCAGGAGTACAGAGAGTCTGGACACAGCCTGAATGCTTTTAAGTGTGCTCTCTGCACAGTCTCAGCTTCCAACACACAGTGAAACACACAATGCATATTCCATGGAGATGCTGGAACAAGAATGCTGCAGCGACCTTTTCTGCTAATCTGTCTCTCTTGTGACTGGAAAACAAAACCTGCAGGCTTGATGGACTCAGTGCAGAGCTGTGTGAATAAGTCAGAATCTCATTCTAATCATTTTGCTTCTGCGCTATATTCTGGCATCATGTCAACACCACCTCAGCTTTTGTTTTTCTTTTTATCCATTTTTTCACAGTACAAGTCAGTCATACCAAAGAGGCTTCAGGTTTTATCTGAGTTCATTGCCAAGGAAACATTTAAAAATATTTTGGAAATGTGATTTTATATTGATGTTGTAGTTCAGGGCAAAGGCTATGGTCAGTATTGAAAAAAAAACCAAAGGCAGTTGGATTTATAATAAAGTAACTACAAACTGAGATTGTACTTTATTGTTTTGAATTTGGATCAGAACAGTATGCACCATATAATAACCTTGACATTAGGTTATGCAATTAAATTTCAAATAAATGTATTAAGCCTCTTATAATTTAATTTGTTCCATTTTTGCCAGAAGTAATCTTTCTTCTCTTCTGGCCTACTTTTTAGAAAATGCCTGCTCAAATTAGTTTGCACACAGATCTTTCTGATAAACTTAATTTAGAAGAAGACTCATTCTCCTAATGGCTGTGATGGAAAATAGAAGATAGACCGCAAAACTTTCTGCAGTTAAAGGTTCTTAAAGTTCCTCTGATAGCTTTATGAATGGTCTATATCGTGCTGCATGAGGTTCATTTCTCATCCAGGATTTAGGTATGGGTGATAAAAGCCCTTCCAGCAGCATTGCACATGAGTCACTGTAGAATGGACCTCATGGGACAAGCTATTTCTGCTTCTAATGAGCTTGTGATCAGCAATGTCCTTGACAGTCAGATTGGAGCCAAATAATATCCTATGGAGTTTTCAGGAGAAAATATCACAAGCATTCCTCCTGGGCAAGTGTGTATGGACTGACTTGAGTGGAACATATGCAAAGAAGAAAGGCTAAAGAAGGCTGGCTTTGAGACCGAGGTCTTTACAGAGCTACAAGGGATGTGTCAGTCAAAAGATGACCAGGGTGCCTGTTCTAACACCTTACTCTAAGTATGAGTGGGTTTTGCACAGTTCATGGCAAAAGATACATGCAAGTATTAAAAAAATTATTTTCGTGTTAATGACACAGTATAATCAAAAATTCAGCATCTTAGATGCAGTCTTTTGAAATAAGCTACTACAGGGAAAAACTCCAGATTTACTCCCACAGACTTTTTTTTTTTTTTTTTTTTTTAAATTTCACTTAATAATCTAGTGTAAAGACTTTCCAAATTGTCTAAACTACAAAATTTGTTTGTCCTTTAGAAAAATAGTTAGGAGACGAAACTATTTACCAACATACAGATCCACATCTACTGAAATTCCTTTTTCTGTACTATTTCTAATTGAATAAGAGTATAATTTCTTCCAATATTTTAGGTACAATAGTATATTAAATTCCAACTGTTTCAAACAGACTAAACAGTTACAAACAAACAAAAAACTTTAAATTTCGAATCTTTTATAAATCACAGAATCACAGCATGGTTTGAATTGGAAGGGACCTTAAAAATCATCTTGTTCTGACCCTGTTTCCATAGGCAGGGACACCTTCCACTAGACCAGATTACTCAGAGCCTCATCCAACCTGGCCTTGAACACTTCCAGGGAACTTCTCTGGGAAATCTGTGGCAGTACCTCACCACCTTCACAGGAAAGAATTTTTCCTAGTGCCTAACTCAAACCTACCTTCTTTCAGTTTCATAGAATCATAGACTATGCTGAGTTTTAAGGGACCCATTAGGATTATCAAGTTCAACTCCTCCCTCTGCAAAGGACACCCCAAGAATCACACCCTATTCTTGAGAGTTGTCCAAACGCTTCTTGAACTTTGTCAGGCTTGGTGCTGTGACCACTTCTCTGGGGAGCCTGTTCCAGTGCCCAACTATGGGGGAATTCTGGAAGAAAAACCTGTTCCTAATATCCAACCTAAATCTCCCCCAACTCATCTTCAGGCTGTTTCCTTGGGTCTTGCCACAAGAGTGAACAGATCAGTGTCTGCCCTGCTGCTGCCCCTTGTGAGGTTGTAGAAGACCACACTGAGTCCCTCAGTCTCCTTTTCTCTAGGCTGAGCAAACCCTGTGGCCTCAGATGCTCCTCCTAAGGATTCCCCTGGTTTTTCTTTGGACATTCTCTAATATTTCAATGTCCTTTTTATATTGTGGTGCCCAAAATTTCCCCCAGCACTCGAGGTGAGGCCGCCTCAGTGCCTGGCGGCTGATGCTGTGCCTGATGCCCCCAGGACAGAGCTGGCCCTCAGGGCACTGCTGGCTCATGTTCAACTTGCCATCAGGACCCCCAGGTCCCTTTCTGCAGCTGCTCTCCAGCCTCTCATTCCCCAGTCTATAACACACCCAGGGTTGCCCCAT